CTCATTTCAGATTTTTATGCTCCTTTTAGCTTATTTCTGCTAGTTTTAGTAATTACAGCTACTATTTAGCCGTTTTATGCATTTTTTTTAATTACTCTTTCAGTTAATTCCACTTTTTTTTTATAGCTCATTTCAGCTTTTTCGAATTCCTTCTGGTAGTTAACTTCTTTCTGCCTTTTTTTTTAGCTACTTTTCAGCTTTTTTAAACTAATTTCATATTTATGTGATAATTTCTGCTTATTTAAACCTAATTCAGCAAAAAAAAAGTATTATTTCTGCTTTCTTCTGCTAATTTAGGCTTGTTCTTCCTTTTTGGCTAAAATTCAGGATTTTTTTTAGCTAATTTCAGCTGTTTTTCAGCAAGTTCTTCTGCAATAAGCATTCACACTGCATTTTGGCAGTAAATGCAATTTCTCTAGTTAATACGTGCACCGATCTGCTCACACACACGTCAGTGATGTAAAAGTTGAATAAGATGCAACATGACTGTTCAGACTGCAGTCGTTTAAATGCATCCAGTTCAGTACCACATGAACAAGACGGGTCTAATTTGAAAAAATAAATACCATTGATCAGATTCATCATGTTCAGACGGTCATTAAAAAATTGGATTTGGGCCCCACTCGCCTGCAGCGTGAACGTAGCATTAGAAACAAAAACAGCAGAAATAACATGCTTTCCATCCGTAGTGAAATAAACAAACTACTGGTCAGAAATAAACGTAAACAACAAAACACAGTGGTACCCTGCTGGTAGAAAAATACAACAAACGTCTCGACGGTTCAACACATTTTCTTTGAGTATCATGTCGCTAAATGTTAATTTTCTGAGCCTCTGCTCCCATCAGTCCTGTTCAGATACAACAAATAAACTGTCAACACGTTAAGAGTTGAAACTCTTGGTTTGTTTGGAAAGCACAAACTAAACTAACACAAGTCTGAGCTGCAGCAACAGGACGACGTTCAAGTGCACAAAAATAAACTCGTGCTTCGCCTCCTATCCAGACGGATGCAGCTCCAGTAACATCCAGAGCTGTGGAGGGCTTCACGGCTCCTACATGGGGGTAAACAACTTGGATGACATCGTTGACCCTTTAAAAGTAAAAAAACACAGTTACAGCCTCTGTTTCCCCAGATGTGAAACACGCCGGCACATTTTACAAGACGCCACATCTAATCCACTCGTAGCTTAGAAGCGATGACTGTGATTAGCTTGGGGGGGGGGGAGAAAAGGGCCCCTTGTTGACAGCTACGAGGAAGAAGAAGCTGGAGTTTCTGCGAAATGGCAGGAATAATAATAACAGCGTACCTGCATATTAAGCTGGAGGCATGCAGCAGAGCAAAATAACAAAACAAAACAGGGTTGTTAATAACACGAGCTGAACAGGTTAGCGCGTGGGAGAGCTCCGGCGGCGAGATGAGGATCATTTTGCTCCCACAAAAGATAATTATGTAAATCAGAGAGCAGGTTTTCAAATGAGATTTGCTACAAAACAAACGTGGACTGCAACACAGAGCCTGCTGGATGGAGCTTTTACCAGATTATTGTGTGAAGACGAGAAGAAGGAGACAAATTATTTCTTCTGGTGAATTTTTCCAAGAGAAGCGAGCGGCTAACGGCTCGCGTTTCAGCCCGATGCTTTTTTAGGCGTCAAGAGAAACATTAACGTAACTGCACGGGAGATTTTTAGCTTCTTTTTTTTTACTTCATCACAAATAAAAACAGCTTCAGGTTGAAAAAACTATTTTTTTTTTTGAAAACTCAACCTCAGTGTGGATAATGTGGGAGTCAAAGACGTTTAAATGTTTTTTCATCCTCCATCAACATGAATCATGTCGGTGCGCTCACATGTTAGCAAAATATCTTATGAACCACTTAACGGATTTTATTGCGCTCTCAAAATCACTGGATGTACATCAAAAAGTGATTAACCTTTTGACTAAATTTAAAATGTCTGCAAAAGCGAACGCAAACACTAAAATCACCACAGGTCAGTCAGGTCCACTGGTACTGGGCTACACGTTAGCGTGGTAGTAGCTGAGACTCAACTCCAACATTTAGAACGAAGGATAAAAGATCACACTGAGGTTTTACTTAAAAAATTAGCGTGCACGTCAGCAGGCGATACGCATTTTTTTTAAGGAAACCTAGTTTATGCAAGATGTGGTGTTTACATTAGGAACAATGTACTTTCAAAATAAAACCAGGGAGAAGTTGAAAAGTCTGAGTTTGTGTAAATGTTGCCCAATGGTGGGGGGGAACTGTCATCACCCAGAATGATTTTTAAGACTATTAAGGAGACGAGTGTTTAGTTTCAGTCTTCATTCATTGGGTTATAAAATAGTCGCACAAGAAAATAAGATAATTTAATCCATTTTTTTGTTCATATACCGGTATATTTTTTGAGAATTAAAAAAAAAAGACAATTTGAATTTAGCAGGAAACATTTTCCCTCTTCTCTCTTCAAAATCAGGTTAAAGTTTTTCTTGTTTATGAGCAGAGCGGCTGATAAATGAACCGACTTACTCCAGACACCTGACGGGAGCGTGCTCCACGCAGGAGTCGGCTCGGCCAACGGGCTCGATCCTCCCGTTCTCCTCTTCTCTGCTCTCCTCCTCCTAAAGCAAAGCACAAGCAGAGGAGGAAGGTGAACAAACAAACAAACAAACAAGACTTCAGCTACACGTGCCGTTCAGATTAAAAGACAAAAAACTCCAAACAATAAATCAATAAAATATAATAATTTTTAGAAATGATGCAGAATCTGTGCAGTTTCACTTCGAGCAAATCCAGCTGACGTTTGACTTTCAGCAACACCCACGATGCAATTTACTTCTCTGGTTTTATTTCAGCAAATGAAGCGATCAGCACGTCGGAATATCTCTAACAAACAATTAGTGCAGATCACTTCTGTCGATGCAGTTGGTTGAGTTTTGCGCTCGTGCGTTGGCATCGATTTGGCCGTGAGACACATGATGGACAGCGTCCAATCAGATTACAGCTTTGATGCACAGCATCGATTCTTGCTGAAGGTTTTTCAGATAGACTTGAGGGATCCAGAGTGTGGAACCGCAGAGCCGAGGAGGAGGATGTACAGTAGATGTTTGCTTTCAGCCGAACGACACGAGAGGAGTACGACAAACTGAGTCGAGTTGGGCCGACGCTGTGCCCTCTGGTCCTAAAATAAATGTTCCTCAGATATTTTCTTGTCTTCTTGCTAGTACCGAGTGCTAAAACTCTTTAAACTCAACTTCTGTGAAGCTAAAAAGCCGAGTTTTCAAACCTGACGGAGCCAAGAGGAGCAGACCGGAGGTGGTCTTCCAAAGGTATAAAAGTACATGCCCTTCAAAAATCCTCTTTGTTCTCATCGCACGCTCTATGAGTTTGAACAGTGAAGCCGACACTCGTGACGTGAACACACACACACACGACGCAGAGCGCAAAGCAGAAAAACGAGAAGCCGAGAAAGGAGGTCATTAAAATTTCAGAGCGACACTGGAGAGGAGAGACGAGCGAGCAGCGGCGCCTCAGACCTCCCTGGCAACCGGCCTCATCAGTATGAAAATGAGCCTGCCGTTACCGTGGCTGCCGTACGGTTGCCATGACACTTTTGTTGCCTGGAGGACATGCCGCTGCAGGGCAGAGGATCACTGCGAGCATGTGTCCAACCGCGTGGAAGGACATTAGACTGGATTATTAAAAGTGACCCGCCATCTCCTGGTGGGGCTGATCAATTTTGACGCACAACGTGTTTTTCTGAGCAGAAAGCAACACGTGTTGGGGAAAAATGTCCTTTTTCAATCATTTCGATTATTAACAGCAAGTTTTTGTGGTAGTATAAGATTTGCCAGCGAGATCCCAGTGAGTATCGTATTTCCCGGCGTATAAGTCACCGCTTTTTTGCATAGATTTGTCAGTCATGCAACTTATATACTTCCCCCCCCCTTATTAAGGAAAAATTAAACAGAGACACACCTTTGCTATAATGTCGAACAATAGTTGTTTTTAAGTGTTGATCTTGTTAAATTCTGAAGAACTGCAACAGTGAGTCCTCCCGTGCACGCTCGCTTCACTCAGCTGGTGCGGGCGGAGGAACGCTGGAGAGCTAGCGGATCTGGCCGTGAGGGAAAGATGGCGCCGTGCCGCCCAGGCAAAATGAAGCTGTTGTGACCATTAAATAAACGCATAATAAACACGACGGGTCAGCGGTGACAAATAATAAATGCGAATTATATGCCCAAGAGATTTATACACTGGAAAATATGGTATTTGGATAATAATTATTTTATGCAACACTGTTTAAATAAATGTAAAAGACGAGTCAAATTTCCCTTTAAGATGTCATTACGCCAAGTAGAACCTAAATATTTACTATGTTAAAGACAAATTTTGACTCTTGAAGACTTTTCTGTCTCTAAAACTGAATGAATGATCAGATTTATTTATATCAGATGACGCAGAATAGTGAAAAATATGCACATAAAGGTCAGAACATCAGAGCAAGTTGTGAACGGACTAAAAGTGAAATCAGCAATAAACTCAACAAACTTTCATTTCTAACTGTTAAGAACTATTTACGCCGACTTGATCGGTTTGACAAATGAAGCGATAAACGTTGACTCCAACTTCTTCTTCAAAAGTCTAAGTGGAGACACTCAGAGGCTCGGCCACGGTTTTCCAACAATCAAAACTTCGCCCATTCCCGGCTCAGATAGTGGGCATGGCGAGAAAAGACGGACAGCTGCATTAATAATTCAGAGTTAATGGCCGGCAGGCAGACAGGCAGGTAGGTGTGGGTACAAGCGGACGGCGTGTTTTCCAGCTGAGTCATTGTTTGTTTCCTGGACAAGGAAAGGAAAAGGCAGGCGGGCAGTTTTTCAGGGCCGGGGGCTCATTAAAGATTAATGGGAGGATGCATCGAGGGCCTGTCCGTTCTATCTCAGACTAAATGAAGTGGTCTGAGCTTTCTGTGTATGTATGGCAGAGTGTGAGCGGAGTAATGCTGCACTTTAATGAAGTGCTGTTTACTCCCCTTTCCTGCTACTTTGACCGCACCGTCACTTTCAGACTGATGTACATGTATAAGGCAGGAATGGAGACAGAGAAGCTCGACTCCTGAAGGCTCAGACTCAAACCCTGGATGTGGAAACTTCTGGAAATCACGAACCTTTGCTCTAATAGCATTAATGTCCTGTTTGGTGAAAGGATAGAGGATGAAGGTCAAAATTATTTCTGTTTAAAAGACCAAAGAGAAACTCTTAATGTAGAGAGAGCATCCCATGAGCAAGATCATTTCTCCTTATGGAACTCGTTGATACTCTGATTGCATCTTTTTGAACCAAACATCAAATGGTTTTGAGGAACTAACTGGTCAGTGGGCTAGGAAACCATACTATTGGTCCAAACAATAAAAGACAAGGACCAGCGTGACTTTGGGACAGCCAGTTTATTGTTTTAGCAAAACTACAGAAATAAAAGTCTACTCAAAAATAACACATTGGGATCAAATGTTAAGACAGTCTGATAATTATCCTGGTTCTGTAGGCCCAAAAAGAGTTGGAGTATTTTATGTTTAAAAGGTGAAATCAGTCAAAGTTTTACAGCTTCCCAAGAGGCCCGTTTCTTTAGAAGTTTAGTGATTTCTTCAGGTTTTATACACAAAGTAAACTGGGAGTCGTCTGCATAAAAACAAGAACAAAAACACACACTTGGCTGACAATGACTGGTTCAGTTTACCGTGTCTTGGTCACAACCTCCATAATTCCAGCAAGACAGATTTCTGAAATTGTGATGCTGCTACTTTACTTTACTTTTAAGTCTAAATGACTTTAACCATACCAGACTTAAAGAATCCATGCCAAAGAGCAGTGAAGCTGCTTTGATGGTCCAACTTTGATGAATCACCATCTGAAAAGAAACAGGCCACAAATGTCCTTGAGCTACGACTGACTGCCAGCATCATCTTCAACTCAAATACTGCCTGCTGAGTAATCGTAGGTTCTGCACCTAGTGCTACAGGTCCTCTCTTATCAATGCATTTATCTTAACACATCATCTGGCATTGTTGTCTACGCACAAGGCATTGTGAGTTTGGACGTTTGATGGGGAAACGTTTCACAAAGCCATCTAACCATGATTCTCCATTCTGACTTTAAGAACCACCTTGAGTCATCTTTTCAGAGATAACACCAACCAGCTGATCAACCAAACACCATCGCACGCTTAACCTGCCCTGCATGTTGCATTTCAGTATCTCACCTATTTGTACTGGCATTTCCAGATACCAAGTACCAAAGAAAGACGGCATACATTATTATTTTGCAAAAGAAAATGGAAACACAACTCATGAAGGGGGAAAAAACAACTAATTTACACTCAGTTATGACCACAGACACAAATATCCATCACTGGTAAGCAGAGATTTTGTCTTCCCCTGCAAAGCTTCAGATGTTCACAACCGGATGAAACACTGAACCCAAGACGATAAATTAGCCTCACCCTTTAACCTCTGACCTGGAAACCATCACACACCATCTGTGCAGGAGGCACCAGTGGAAGTCAAACATGGAGGTCAAATAAAACTCCAGACAATCTTTATATTGACTTTTTTTTTTTTAAGTTCAACACAGCTGTTGTATCCGACTGCTTGTTCGTTTTTGTTCTTTTCTGGGAAAAATATTGTCAAGCTTAGAAAGATGAGTTGACGATTGTCTGGACATAAAGAAACTAATATTTACTTTGACATAAATGGCAGAATTACAGCCACAACCACAGAGTATCGCAAAGGTTATCCTCGGAGACAAACAAACGTGGAAAGATCTACATTTTAAAGTTTCTATCCGTGAACACAAAATTAGTAGCACAGACTCAGAATAAAGGTAAATAATAAAGAGAGATAAAGGGAACAAGTCATAGTATGTGAGTCAGGGAGTGTTTGACCCTTTCCGAGAAAAGCAACAACAACAAAAAAACATGCTCAGTTTCTTTGTAGGTGAGACGACTAGCACTCAAATCGCTGGTGTGCACTTTGCTCACCTGACAGTAAAGAGCCATCTTCAGATTTCCACTCCAACTCTCCCTGAAAGCACTCACAAGGCTCAACGCCGGCCATCTGAATGGACTCACCATGTCGGGGATGTGGTGATCAAACATCAGAGCACAACCTCTGATGCCTTATTCGTTCCATAAATCATTGAGGTAAGAGATACTGGATACGTAGGATGTCAGGCTTCAACCACCAGGAAAATCTATTCAACACAACGTCACTTGTTCGCATTATTAAGACTCCTGGGTCTGGTGTTTTTTAAATTTTGGTGAAAACACCAACGATGGATCAAACGAACTTGGGGGCCGTGAACATTTCGATAATACGGTGCACAACAGACAAATCCGAGACGTTTGATGAATGCTGATGCGAGAACCGCTGCGAGACCACAATGCATCATTAACAGAGAGCGCTCAAATCCCTGCACTAATTTAATTAGTTTCCTTTGAAGACACTTTGATAATGGGATCCAGATGGGCGGATGCTATCGTCAATAACTTGAGGATTCTCAGAGGCGAGGGGACGTTATCACGGCTGTTACCCAAGGAGAGGTGGATGGTAAATGTGGATTTG